AATAAACATATTAAAAATTATGCAGAAAAATTCACTTCATCTTTCCTGAAATTGACTAGTTTTATGTAATTGTTCCACCTCGCCTTCTATGGGAGGAAATTCAAATAACCAATAAATATAAAAATAAGACATGTCAAAAAATTTTTAAATGCCCAAGGCTAGTATGGGCAATTGGGCAACCTCACACATTACAGGTTGTTATAAACTTTTTGAAGGGCAACTTGAGACTATGTCACAAAAGCCTTAAAAGAAACTCATACCTTTTGACCTAGTAATTCCATTTCAAGGAATTTATCCAAGAAATTATTGATGGATGTGTGCAAATTAAATACATAAATAAAATAATAATAAATAACAACCTACCAGTCCATTTAAGTTCTTTATGTTGTTTCTTCCTAATGATAATATCCTCAAGTTTTCTGTAGTGAAAAGAAAACATTTTTTTGTTTACTAGAATCATATTACACAATTGTACATCTAGTATAATAAAGCTTTAATAAGTTTTATATAATAGATATCCTTATACAATGAGTAAGAAAGGTTGTGTTAACAAAAATGGGTAATCAAGTTGAAAATAACATTGACCTATCATCTAAGGTAAACACTACATAACATGTCACTATTAAATTAAAAAATGATTAGCTATCTGGAACACATGGTCTTAAATTGCTGGCTAATAAAAATATTACAGGATAAAATAGCAGTAGAGAATATTTTAAGTTTGAGAACATACATATTTCAAATCTCTTATGAGAACTCACACTAGAAAATAAGAACATATATTTATGTACTATCCACCTCACTCCATGAAGAATTAGAAGTGAAATAAAATAAATTTGGTATTTAAAAAAATCATTTGATTTTAATCTTTTAAATAATTAAACTGTGATTTGCTTAAAAAATAAAATACCTATCTGTATTTTTTAAAGATTATTTCTATTTCTATTATCTATAGGCTATTTCTGGAGTAAGATAAAAGCGGTGAGGGGTACTGGAATAGAAAATTAAAAGATTAATAAGATGATGCTTTTTCTCAAATAATTCACTATCTTAAGAGCAGAACATCTTCCCAACTAACTATAACAATGGTTAATATTTATTGAGCATTTTATATGTACCAGGCACAATTCTGTGTACTCAATATATACTAACTCAACCTTCACAATAATTATATGAGATAGGTAATTATTATTACAATCCAAGGTAGACTGTTATGAATATTCCCAAAAGAGTAACTAATTTTGATGATGAAGTTGAGGGAAGTCTTTAAGGAGGGAGTGACATTCAAATGTGGCATTCATAACCTTTTTTTCTTGAGATAAGGTCTTGCTCTGTTGCACAGGCTGCGGTGCAGTGGCACCATTATAGCTCACTGCAGACTCACTCTCCTGGGCTCAAGCAATCCTCTTCCCAAGTAGCTGGGACTGCAGGCACACATCACCATGCCCAGATAATTTTTAAAATTTTTAGTAGAGACAGGGGTCTCACTATGTCGCCCAGGCTGGTCCTGAACTCCTGAGTTTAAGTGATCCACCTGACTCAGCCTCCCAAAGTGCTGGGATTAAAGGTGTGAGCCACGGTGCCTGGCTGCTTCTTAAATCTTAATTTCTTACAGGATTTTCCTGTTACAGGGAGAAGCTGTTCTCAGTGAAAAGTATTGCATTAATAAATGTTTCAAAGTCATTTTTAAAATAGTATATTTGGGTGTGGATAGCACAAGTTTTTAGATGACTTTGAATGCAACATTAAGGCATTTGGTCTTTTCTAGGCAAAGAGGTACCATTAAAAGGTCTCATTCAAATAATATTTTTAGAAAGAAAACTCTGTTATCAGTGATGAAGGCCACCTGAACGGCAGAAAGACGGAGAAAAGGAGATCAGTTAGGAGGCTATTGAGGGATCTGTTAGGTAAACAGTTAGGGCTGGTCCTTAGAAAAGCAGCCTGTCTGAAAAATCACAGCTACAGGCAAAAATAGAGCACCCTGGGGAAAACTCAGGCTGCACCTGCATGGATTAGTATGCAGGGTCCAGCACAGATTGTTCTTTGTGTAATTGGCGGGCTCCCAGGAAAAAGTTTCTTTCCCTTTTCAGACATGTACATAGTAGGCTCCCTGGGAGCTTGTACGGGGAGGAGGGGGACTTACCTAAAATAAACCCACAATTTTATAAACAAGAGAAGCAGTGCTTTATGCTTGCCTAGAGACATACCAACAACTACATAGATAAAGAGGAGTTGTGCAGACAGCTTTTCAGATAAGAGGAGTTACTCAAACAGCTACAGCAGTGAGAGGAGTTTGTTATAAAAGCTTTTGAATTCAATTGTAAAAAAAAGCAACTCAGGCTTCCCTCTCTGCTACAGAGACCTTTCTTTTTTCACTCATTAAACTTTCACTGCAACCTCACCCTTTGTTTGCATCTACATTCTTTAATTTTCTCTCATGAGACAATGAACCTCGGGTAACACCTTAGATAATGAGACCAGTGACCCTGACCTGTTTTACTATCACAAAAGTTGTAAGACAGTGTTTTTCAAACTATGGGTCATGAGACTAAATTAACAGGTTGTGAAATCAATTTAGTGTGTTGTGATCAGCATTAAAAAAAAAAAA